GACTATTTATATCCACTTATCATTGAATCATAGAATAGTGAAGCTGGAAGGGGCTTATGAGGCCATCAAGTCCAACTCTCTATTCAATGCAGCAATACAAATCAAAGGATATCTGCCAGATGGTTGTCTTAAGTTTCTCTTGAATGTCTCCAGTGTTGGAACACTCACCACCTCTCGGGGTAATTGGTTCCACTGCTCTAACAGGAGGTTTTCCTGATACTCAACTGAAATCTGGCTTCCTGTAACTTGAGCCCATTGTTGTGTGTTCTGCACTCTGGGATGATCGAGAACAGATCTTACCCATCCTCTGTATGACAGCTTTTCAAGTACAGTATTTTAAAAGTGTTATCATATCACCCCCTCTTTCTTCTTTTCTCAAGGTTAAACATGCCTACATCTTTCAGCAATATTACAAGTGAGAAGGATCTTAGAATCATCGTAGATCACAAACTGAATATGAGCCAACAATGTTGGCTCATTAACTGGACACAATACTCACAGTGTGGCCTAATCACTGCTGAATAGAGGGGAACTAGCACATAGTGGTATTTCAAGGCTATAATTCTGTTAATTCATCCTAAAATAGCACTTGCCTTTTTTTGTAGCCACATCACACTGCTGGCTCATATTCAGTTTCTGATTTACAATTATTCTAAGATTCTTCTCACTTATAATATTGCTGAGCCAAGTATTCCCCATCTTGTAACTGTGTATTTGGTTTCTTTTTCTGAGAGCAAGTACAGTGGTGCCTCGCATAGCGACGATAATCGGTGCAGCAAAAATCGCTGCAAAGCAATTTCGTCGCTATGCAATATTAAAAAGCCCATAGGAATGCACTGAAACCCCTTCAATACATTCCTATGGGCTTAAAACTCACCTTAAAGCGAAAATCCTCCATACGGCCGCCATTTTCGCTGCCCGGTAAGCTATTCTTGCAGCCCTCCTCTGAACTTGTTTCCAATTGTCAACCTTAATCAGCTTCCTGGTTTGCCAGTAAACACAAATATTCTAAAATACATAAGTGCCTATTGATCTATCTTTCCAAGGGAACCCAAGTCTAGGAAAGAGCTGTTGTATAAACCATTTTATCCACTTCTCAGCTCTAACTGGTTCACTCAAATTGGCTTACAAAACAGTATAGTACAATGCAATTAAGAGGGAGTAAAGGCTTTGATTTTATATTCTAAAAAACAGTTTAAAGTTATTTATTGGAAGGAATTACTCCATCTTTGGGGGGATTTTAGAGACTCTGGGATGATTGAGAACAGATCCTACCCATCCTCTGTATGACAGCCTTTCAAGTATTTTAAAAGTGTTATCATATCACTCCCTCTGTCTTCTTTTCTCAAGGCTAACATTCCTAATTCTTTCAGTCTTTCCTCATAGGGCTTGGTTTCCACCCCCTAATTATTCTTGTAGCCCTCCTCTAAACTTGTTCCCAATTGCCAACCTTAATCAGCTTCCTGGTTTGCCAGCAAACACAAATTCTAAAATGCATAAGTGCCCATTGAGCTATCTTTCTAAGGGAAGCCAAGTCTAGAAAAGAGCTGTTGTACAAACCATTTTATCCACTTCTCAGCTCTAACAGGTTCACTCAAATTGGCTTACAAAACAGTATAGTACAATGCAATTAAGAGGGAGTAAAGGCTTTGATTTAATATTATAAAAACCAGTTTAAAGTTATTTATTGGAAGGAATTACTCCATCTTTGGGGGGATTTTAGAGCCAGAGGACTGCCACCTGAAAAGGACTTGCTCTGATGTTCCACTTCCATAATAGAGAAATGGAATTATATTGAAATAATGCAGAGCAGCCTAATTTAATACTATTTGACACTGGTAAGTTACAGTTTAAATTCCAATTCCAATTCAAAACATAGTTGAAGGTAGTTAATAAATGCTAGACAGGTGATGATTTTATCAAATTGCTGAAGGCCATATTTCTGTTGAGAGACAAAGGACAAAATCCTCTTGGCTAAACTTGCATTGTTATAATTTGTAGCAGGTGCCAGAAAAATTTAATGTATACCAAAGTAAAACTTCTTATTCCCTGTTTTAAGTTCTGAGGTTCGCTAGGGTGCCCTTTTGGCCTGGGGAATGCTTTGGGATCATCAGGAGAGGGAGGGAAAACCTTTAATAGTAAAAAAAATAAAATAAAAAAAATCACCACCAAATTGCTCGCAGTGGTCCCAACCAGTGATTCAGGGGCAATTTCTGACTTTTAAAGGCTCCCCCCCATCATCTCAAGACTGTCAGAGGCTTCCCCAGATAGCCTCAGAACATAAAACATGGGAATAGGAAGTTTTTAATTAGGGTGACCTATGTTGCCTTTGTCTGATCCAGGTTATGCTGGGGCAAAGTTACACAACAGGAATTCCCCACAAAACATCCGCAAGAATATACACTACAGTTAAAATGCTTCTGGTGCTAAGAGTTATGAAGGATACCCTTCTGGCAGACTGTATATCTCACATGGGCGATGGGTATGCTACTGTTGAAAGACATGAAGAGACAAAGGACAAAATCCTCTTGGCTAAACTTGCATTGTTATAATTTGTAGCAGGTGCCAGAAAAATTTAATGTATAAAAAAGTAAAACTTCTTATTCCCTGTTTTAGGTTCTGAGTTTTGCTAGGGTGCCCTTTTGGCCTGGGGAAGGCTTTGGGATCATCAGGAGAGGGAGGGGAAACCTTTAATAGTAAAAAAAAAAAAA